ATAGCTTCACACAAGTATTTAACAGACATCTCACACTTCACACGTACAAATCAAGGCTTCTGAGTTTAGTTCCTCACACTGCTACTTCTTCAATGTTCCCCATCTCAGACAATGACACTTCTTCACGTTCAGAAGGCAAAAACTTGGAATCATCTGCGATTCTTTGTCTTCATTCTCCTTATGCCAAGTCTTCACTTATTTGACTCTTAAATCCAATCCGTACCTTTCCCTTGCTTTGTTTTGTATCATGGAGGGACTGACCCCAGCAGGCTGCACTTCCCAGGGCCCCCTGGCAGCCAGCTATCAGCTGGACTTACCTGAGAGGCATTGCAGTAGACTATAGAACAGGAACAGAGAGAGAAGACAGGGTATTTCCCCCTTCCCTGTGAGTGGGCCTCAGTAATGGCTGCTCCAGCCACCCCATGGAAAGACCCTCTACATTCCAGTCTCTGCTAGATGGCCTTGGCTTCTGGACTATAATAACATCACTTCCTCACTTTATCCCTCCAAAAAAGAGACAATAGTGGCTTTCTGCTATACTAACTTCTGGGATATTTCGTCACCCTATGTTGGTTTCTTGGCTCTTCCATCACTTGTGTAAATAATTCCTCCTTAAATTTCCTTCCTTGCATCTTATTGGCCAGAGTTATTGGCTCTTTTATTGGCTGAAGCATGGCAAGAGGAATGGAATGAAACAATTTGCTTACACTAGTCCCCTTTCATCTTCTGGGACTGGGGAATGGCAGAAATGAAAAACATGGGACCTATGTACAGTTGAAGCCTCTACAAGGTTCCAGGTGATTGTAGCCACATGAAAACAGCAGCCCGGGCTGGCTAGATCTTCCAGTTTTCAAGAGAAGTCAGAAATTCAGATTTTTATGTGAAATATGTCTAGTTATTAAATGTCGTCCCAGGTTTTAAAAAATCCTATATGAACCCAGTAAAATATATCTGTGGACCAAATTTAATTCTGGGGTCTCTGGTTTGAGATTTGGCTTAGGATGTACGAAAGAAACTCCCAGTCAAAAACCTCCTCTGGGGCAAAGAAGAATGGAATCAGTTAGTAGATTGAACAAAGGTAAGGAAAAGGGGAAGATAAAAAAAAGTCAGACGGGTTTCAATATTATCTTGCCGCAGCGTTTCTCTGAGCGATAGTCTATGTGAACTTTCAGCTACATCAAGGTGCTAAGATTGGTTTTAAAAGGAGGTAGAAGAGGGTAGTTTTATTTGGGTTTTATGGATAAAATAAGAAAAAAATCGTGTCTTGAGGAAGAGAATAGATGGGAGTAGAGGGACTCCTTCCTTATAAAACTTATCATGCTATCTTTAAGGTAAAAGGAACACCATGTGAGGAGAAGCAAAAACCTATTAGAGAAAATCTATCAAAGCTCTTAAAGCAAAAAAGGCAAAGAGGGTAGGAATTGGGTTGACTTGGATGTATTTGCACACATAGACTAGAGTAGCTTATACTAGAAAACCAGCCAAATCACAAAATCATGCAAACTTTACTTTTTTTTTTTTTAACCAGTGGCTGTTTTGATTAATTAGGGAAGTCTTGATCTGTACCTTTAGGCACAAACTATGTCTATTTGGTAATATCACGCATGATTCTACTTTTGTGTGTTATCAAGCAGAACAAAACTAATCATCTGCTGGGGTTGTCAGTTCCCACGAGATGATCAGGCCTACTTCTCAAAACCAGAAGTTTCCATAATTCTAAATAATCATCAGATCTTTCAGATGATAAATGGAAGAAATTCAGTTCTGCCTATGGGACTAGCTCCTGAAATTGCTTTCTAGTTAAAATAGATGTCTAGAAGTGCATCCTTTTGATGGTGAAAAAATGCCTGCATGCCAAACATACAATCCATTCCTAACCAATGAGATTTGGTTGAAATGATAGTTCAATAATAGAAACACTGACAATAGAATTTGAATATTGGAGGAGGGAATTTATATGAAAAAGAGTGAGGATGGTGGTGACAGGGACTTGGTGAATAAGAACCAGCATGAAAACAAGGCATGGAGAGAAAGTCAGAAAGAGAAGAATGACTTGGGGATAGAAGGTTGGAGGGAAGAAGAAAAAGAAAATTCCAAATTTAAAATGCAAAACAAAGAAAAGTAGAGAGGAAACTGTGGGAAAGAAAGATAAAAGGCAAGAGAAGCAGAATAGGAAGGGTTATAACAGTAGCAGGAAAATGTTTGACCCCAGATCTGGAAAGTCTCATAAATTTTGCAATGAGACATACATGGTTGAAGAAACTGGAGGTCACTCCACAGAATGTATAGTTGGCACAGAGTTGTTTTTCTTATGTTCTAATGCTGACTTCTGAGTTCTGCTGCCTCCTTTGCCTTGACTTCTGCTCTAGATAATAAACAGGTTGAGTTGGTGCAGTCCCCAGTAGACTTGGGTGCCTTAATTCCAATTTTCTAAGTGTAGCTTGGACAAAGAAGACTTCTGCAAAGGAGGATCTCCATCTGTGTGGCAAAGGACTGTTTGAGGTGCCTTTGGAATAATACCTTTCATTGGGGAACACGGGCTCCTCACAGGACACTGAGGCCCTAGGGTCACTGGAGCACAACCAAAACCCATTAATATCAATCACAAACGTCCATTTCTTAAAACCTTTCTCATTTTATCCTGCTTTGCTAAAGAGCTTTTGAATATATTGCTTGACAGACCCCAGATGGTATTTTACTGCAATTTTTACCCTGCATCGGGCAGACAGCAGCCCACATACACATAAATATGCACTAATAATCTGCTCAGTGGCTAGAGAAAGCTTAAATACAAGGCAAGAAATTGCAAATAAAAATAAAAATACAGCATAAAAACTTCTATAAATAAAAAACAAGTTTAAAAGAAGTCAACAAAGCTGGGGGAAATATATCATTAAATTTATACTTCTGAATTGCCAAAGTAATAAATGTTTATGATAAAAAATATATATCTATACATACACATTTATATATACACACAAGCAATACAGAAATATCTATGGAAAAGTGAGAGTGACTTTCTCTCTGCCACCATGACCCACTTCTCACCCTGTTAACAGTTTGTTAACAATTCTGTGCATGTATAAAGGCTTTCTCTATGTGCATATGAACATGTATGCCCCAAGGATCTCCACCAGCCCCACACCACTCTCCCATCACTGAAGGGTGACCTCTCACCAGTGAATGTAGGGAAAGGGGAGATACTCACTAATGAAGGTTTTCTTAGAGAAATATCTAGTCAGCAGAATATCTTAATGCCTGTGCTTCTCCTTGGGTCACATTCATGTTGCTACAGATCACCCTCTGAAGCCCTTAGATAACCTTCGGCAGGATGCTATTTGCTCTTTTATATGAGCCACAGAAGGGCTAACATGGAGTCGGCTGCATTTCCCTTTGCTGCCTCATCTCCTTGTCCTCCACAGCACCCATGGGGGGGTGGGTATAGATTTTACTCAAGTGGAGAAGCTAAAGGGGAAGCAGAATGCCGTGTGCTAAATTTAACTCATCCTAGGTTTAGGGAAAACAGAAACCAAGGAGTTGAAACCTTCAAAGGGACTCTAACAGGGGTAAAACTCAGTCTCCCTTAGCTTCATATTTTAGATCTCTTGAAAACACCTTCTAACTTCCACCATGGATTGATTGATTGATTGATGATTGATTTTAGGAAAACACAAACTGTTATCATTATGATGGTCTTGCAATTGAGTTATTCCCAGGAGGCCTTAGCAGGACAGTCAGTGATAGCTGTTGATGCAGAAGTCCTACACAACAAACCAGGTGGGTAAGAATAGGTGGGTGCTCTGAATTTAGCCCCATTCGGAATTCTCCTTACCAACATGACTCAGACACCTGTTTATTCTCGTGAATGTATACTAAATATCTATTTGGGAGAAACAGAAATATAGTCTTAACTGCCTCACAATTTGTGAAGTGTATATTTCTCTTTGGAGTTGGTATTTCACATTATTTTGCAGAACAGAATCAATTGCTTTTTTCCGTTCTTAAACCCCCTCATTCTCAAAATAGTTTCCTTGAACAGCAACGTCCCTTTTAATGGCTATACCCTTAGCTAACCAATTTAAAAATTAATCTGGCTTATAATAACTCAGTTAAGTTCCTTTTTCTTTTTCTTTTTTTTTTTAAAGATTTTATTTATTTATTTATTTGACAGAAAGAGAGAGTTAGCGAGAGGAGGAACACAAGCAGGGGAGTGGGAGAGGGAGAAGCAGGCTTCCTGCCAAGCAGGGAGCCCAACGCGGGGCTCGATCCCAGCACCCTGGGATCATGACCAGAGCCGAAGGCAGTTGCTTAACCAACTGAGCCACCCAGGCGCCCTCAAATTCAAATTCTTAATTAAGAATTTAACTAAGGGGCGCTGTGAATTGTGCAAGACTGTTGAATCACAGATCTGTACCTCTGAAACAAATAATGCAATATATGTTAAGAAAAAGAAGAAGAAGAAGATAGCAGGAGGGGAAGAATGAAGGGGGTAAATCGGAGGGGGAGATGAACCATGAGAGTTGGTGGACTCTGAAAAACAAACTGAGGGTTCTAGAGGGGAGGAGGAATGGGTTAGCCTGGTGATGGGTATTAAAGAGGGCACGTTCTGCGTGGAGCACTGGGTGTTATGTGCAAACAATGAATCATGGAACACTACATCAAAAACTAATGATGTAATGTATGGTGATTAACATAACAATAAAAAATTAAAAAAAAAGAATTTAACTAAGGGGCGCCTGGGTGGCTCAGGTGGTTAAACATCTGCCTTCAGGTCCGGTCATGGTCTTGGGGTCCTGGGATCGAGCCCACCTCCGGCTCTCCGCTCAGCGGAGAGTCTGCTTCTCCCTCTCCCTCTGCCCCTCTCACCACCCTCGCTTGTGCTCGCTCTCCCTCTCTCAAATGAATAAATAAAATCTTTAAAAAAAATGAATTTTGGGCGATTCTGTCCGCGTTGGAGGGGCCGGGCCGCAGCTGGAGTCGCCGCGGCTACCGCGTGACGTGGCATAGCAGAAGCCTAAAACGCCAAACCCGGAGCTGCCGCGCCAGTCGTCGAGCAGCGCCCCGTTAGTTCTTGTTCCAGAGCTTCGTCCGACACGCCGGCTAGCGAGACGCTTCTGCCGCCCTCTTTCTCCCTCAGCTCTTCTTCCTTCGCTCAGTTTGTTGGGAACGTGAAAGGAGAAGGCCCGGGGACGCCCCAAAACCCCTTCTGTTCCTGCCCATCGCAAGTGCCACTACTGCCATGGGCCTCACCATCTCCTCCCTTTTCTCCCGCCTCTTCGGCAAGAAGCAGATGCGCATTTTGATGGTTGGATTGGATGCTGCTGGCAAGACGACCATTCTGTATAAACTGAAGTTAGGGGAGATAGTCACCACCATTACCTACCATTGGTTTTAATGTGGAAACAGTAGAATATAAGAACATTTGTTTCACAGTATGGGATGTTGGTGGACAAGATAAAATTAGGCCTCTCTGGAGGCATTACTTCCAAAACACCCAGGGTCTTATTTTTGTGGTAAATAGTAATGATCGTGAAAGAATTCAGGAAGGAGCTGAAGAGCTGCAGAAAATGCTTCAGGAAGATGAGTTGCGAGATGCAGTGTTGCTGCTTTTTGCGAATAAACAGGATTTGCCAAATGCTATGGCCATCAGTGAAATGACAGATAAATTAGGTCTTCAGTCTCTTTGTAACAGAACATGGTATGTTCAAGCCACTTGTGCTACACAAGGAACTGGTCTGTATGAGGGACTTGACTGGCTGTCAAACGAGCTTTCAAAACGTTAAATGAAACTGGATATCTAACCAAGGACACATTTGATAGAATTGGTCTAGGCTTGTTACAACAAAATTAGTTTGCATCTTGGTTATTAAACAGTATCTGGGACTGGTTTGGGCAGAATATTACAGCGTTTAAACTTATTTTGTTGCCAATTATTGTTGACCAAGTATAATATTGCTATTTAGCAATAGGCTTGGTTTTAAAGAAATTCTCCTTAACTTGGGAAAAAAGTGTCCTCTTTTAATTGTAATTCCCTTAAGCCTAAATGCCTGGACATAGCTATTGTGACACCTTTAAATAAATCCGTTTTGAATGTTAAAAAAAAAAAAAAAGAATTTTGTATTTGAGAGGTATAAAGACCAACTTTATTTTTCCAATAATAACAGGCACTAATATATAGGCACTAATATATAGTGTTCCATTTTACTAAAGGGAATAATACTGTACACAGTCTAAAATTTGTTGTGAAATATATTTGTAGAAAAAATATAAAACTGTTAATATCCTTAATAAAAAGAGTTCTTATAAAATCCATAAGAAAAAAAGTTTGTAATAGCTAAATGGGCAAAAGACCAATACCATTTATAAAGATACATAAATCATAAAATAAGAGTGTTTCTTTTTGTAAATATATAAATCAAAATACAGTAGCAATAGGACATCATTGCTGTCCATAACATTTACAAAAAAAGTATTTGAATGATAGTTCTGGTAACAATGTGATTAGATGTGTCCACTCATCTAATCTTAGTAGAATTACAATTTAGTAGAGCTGATCTGAAAAACAGTTTGGCAATACATATCAAGACTCTTTCTCCTAGCACTTCTAATTTATTAATCTCTTCTAAATAAATAAGAACTTTTGATAAAAAGTTTTATGCATAAAATATTTCTTTCAATGTTAATTAAAATATCTATAATTTAGAAACAACCTAAGTGTCAAATATTAGGGGACAACACAAGTATATTGTGGTACACACATACCACAGAATATTATGTAACTTTTAAAAATGTTTACACAAAATGAGCGAAGGGGAGAGGGAGATACAGGCTGCCAGTTATGGAATAAATAAGTCACAGGAATAAAAGATACAGCACAAGGAATAAGGTCAATGATATTGTAATAGCATGGTATGGTGACAGTTGGTAGCTACACGGTGGTGGATGTAGCATCATGTATAAACTTGTCAAATCACTAAGTCATACACCTGAAAACAATGTAACATTGTGTGTCAACTACACTCAAAAAATTTTTTTTAATGTTTCTAGAACTTCTTTTTACTAACATAGGAAAAGACATATGATATAATGTTTAATGAAAACTCAGGTTATAAAATTATTTTAACATCAATATAATACTATATGGACTAATAATTGAATAAATAGTAGCTAATTCTAGTTATTTGTTGGTTGACAATTTAATACATACTTCATCCTTTGTTATTTTTTTCCAGAATTTTCCATGACTCTTATCATTAGAAAAATAACCCTTTGTATTTAAAAATCAGGAACAGAGTTAACATGGTAGTTATAGATAACATACCAGTGATAGAAAAAAAGTGGAAATAGGATCTGACCCAAAGGCTTTCTGACTCAAGCCAGAAAGTTTTCAAGACATAGTCTCATAAGTTTCAAATGCTGCTGATCCACTGAAATATCCATCCATATTACTTGATTGTTTACTTAGAAAAGAATATTTTTCCCCAAAAGTTACAGTGGACTAGGCATTTATATTTAGAACACTATTATATCACTATATCACACTATTACAAAAAAAACCACTAGTGCTTATACTTATAATGTTAATTAACATGATGTGTATATTAACAAGCACATAGACAAGAAGTAATTCACACTCTCAGAAAGTGTTTAAATTAAATATAAAACTATGTAAATGAAATAAAATATATCCTTTAAGAAGGGACCATATAATTATTTAGATTTAGATAAATTGATTACAGATTCCTGTGGGAAGCTTTCACACTAGGTGAATGAGATGGCCCTATTTAATAAAATCTAGATGTCTTATAATAAAACCACTGCTTAGGCAGTTAATCTAGTAATGCTCAGTGGGCAGACTTCAGGATGAATTCAGCATTTCTGAAAACAGGAAGTTCAGTGTGATTTGAGGAAGCAAAAAAATCCCTATATCCTTTCATTTGAAGGGCAAACAGCCAAATAAGAAGTTCATGGAAGTTCCACTTGATATTAGCATTCTCTGCAGTAAACAAAAAGTTATTCACATAGTTATTCCTCGGGCTAAATGGGATTGTTCTTTGAGATGTTTCCCAATACCGTTTAATGGTTGAGAATGTAAAATGTAATAAAACCCTATTTGGCAAAAGTGAAGATAATTGAAAGCTCTTTTGTATTCTATTTTCTCATCTGAAATGGTCAGTAGATAATTAAACCAAAAATGGGAGAACTATATGTAATATAGTCACCTAATCAACAAATCTTTATTGAGCACTTGTTTTAGGCCCTGGAGGTACAACAGTAACACAAGACAACACTCCTGTTCTCAAGGAATGGTGATCTAGTGGCAGAGGACATAAGTAAATAAAGACATACTGTAATTTCAAGGAGTAGTAAGTGCTTTGAAGAACAGATAAAACAGGATAAAAGTTAGAGTCACAGTACATGGGTTCCGTAAAGACCCACTGCAGAGAGCATTGGAAAGACCTCTCAGATGAGGTCCAATTTAAGCAGAATTCGGAAGAAAGTGAGAACAAACCACACCATGATCCAAAGGAAGAGTATTCCAGGTAGAGAGGAGAAGTGCAAAGATCCAAGGTGGAAACAAGCTTGACACACTTTCAGATGAGTAAGAATGGTTGAAAGAGAGTGATCAGGGGAGGAAGAGATGGGTAAGCCCATATATTTCTCTAACTTCAACCACCGTTTTATGCCAATGCCTTGCAGCTTGATGTCTTGAGCTCTGGTTTCTTTCCCAACTCTCCTCCATATATTCACTTAGGTAATGGATATCTTTATTTACATAATCCCTGTAATGAAATTCTGTGTAATTCCTATTTTAGTGACTTGTCCCAATCTTTCCTTTGTCAAACCTAAATCTGAGAACTTGGAATTTTCCTTTAACTTTTCTCTCATTTTTCACATTGAATCTATCACTATCTACTATCAAATCTTCTTTCTAAAGTTTCTTATATCCATCCCTCTGGCACTCTCTGATAGTATACTGAACTAATTTCTGAATTGTATACTGAAATTACTTCTTAACTGGAATATCTGCTTTCAGTCTTTTCTAAGATTCAGTCTTACTGAATCACTTTTAATACCCCGAATGTGCCATCAGAACAGACTTAAACAGAGATCCTTGCTTCTGATTCCTTCACAGACGAGATATATTTCTCATGGAAGTTGCATATTGGATGAGAAGACCCTGCCTCTCTGTTTTAGGGTAGTAGTAAGGGAAGGATGAAGCTGGATTATTAGATTCCTTCCTAGGAATTTTCAAAGTACCAGTAAAGGAAGAGAGCGTCTCTCGTCTCAGGTCAGAAAACAATAAGCCCCTGGGTCCAGAGTTTCTATCACTAGGCCTCATATCTCATGGAGAATCTCATCTGAGAGCAGAAATTTGGCCCATAAAGAGAAGCAGAGATGAGATGGGAAAAAGTGTCCTGAGTTTGTGGTTCCAATGATCTAGCCCTAATCTTCCCAAGGTTTAGTTAATGTAAGTTCAAATAATTCCTCTTTTATCAGGTTGAATTAGCTTTCTGGTAGATACCAGAGTCCTCACTACTGTAGCCTTGCTTTTACTCATCCATTTCTTTTAACTTGGCCTTCTGCTTCGAGGGTTCTTCCTAGTCTCTTTCATTTGGTAACATTTAGCCATCTTTCAAGACCCAACCTATGTGTGACCATCTCTGGGACACTTTCTCTGGAGTCTCTGGTATGCTTTGAGTGACTTAAGGAAAGAGACTCTTTTATTCCTTAACATCACACACAATTTGTTGAATAAATATAAGAGGAAATGAATGAATGAGTCTCACATCAGCTTGTTATTTTAAGAATGTGTCAGTGGCCAACGTTGCACGCATTAAATCACTTATTATCCACTTTATATGCATCCAAATATTCTCCAAAATCCTTCTGCCTTTAAGTCCGTGGGTATCTACTCAGATGTGTATCTTCCTGGCAAATTTTCTTCCGTACTGTCTTTTACAATGCTTAAGAATATCCTTCCTTTATTATATTCTAATTTCGAATTCCATCTGTCTAAATCTCAATAATGATTATAAAATTTTATTTACCACCATGGGTTAAAATGTTCACATTATTTCTCATGATTTTGGCATTAACATATTAATCTATAGGCGTTATGCCTTGATTTTAAATAATTGACCATTTTTCAGTCCTTTACATTACCACTCTATAGCATCTGAAACTGGATGACTCTATACCCTTGAAAAATCCCTCTTCCCTTAGCTTCTGTGAGAACCTCTTTTTTTGCTTACCTCTGTAGTGGATGGACGCTGATTGGCTCAGATTCAAGCAGAATTTTAAATTTAACTTTCTCTTTGAATACATTTGAATGAAGAAGGAAGCCATGAAAAGAACCAAAGCTTGTGTGCTTGAAACTTCATAATCATTAAAGAACCTCCCTTGACTGGAGATCAGCCGGAGTGAGTAGTGTTTAATGGGGTTGAGTATTCTCAACCTGCTCTGTCATATCCTGGTTAAGTATAACTACATCATGGTATATCTTTGTATTGATCACATTGCCTCTATACACAACCAGTTCTGTGATTCAATTAGGCAATGCGCTCGTAGATTCCCATCCTAGGCTGTTTCTTATATACCCCATTCCCAAACCACCACTTCCTAGTTAAGGCCATCATTACTCCTGTTTTTCTTTTTTTTGAAAAGTCTTACCTAATGGTTCTGCCTCCTTTCTTATAACACCCTTCTACTCTTTGTAGTGCTGAGTGAGAAATATTCCCGAAGCACATCCCAGTTCAAATAACTTTGCCTAAGAATAACATCCATATTCCTTAGGGTGACATTCCAAGGTCAGGTACTAATTTAGCTTGTCCCCATCATCTTAAATATTTGATTCCAACTCAACTGATCAGGGCAAAGTGTCATGCAATAACATCTCATGTTTGTTGAGTGTTTATTCTGTGCCAAACACAAGTCATCCTTATCAGGGTGATCACAGGATTTGACCTAAAGTAATCCTGGTCCTAACCTGACTCTTGCT